AAGGGCTCAATGCCTGAGAGAGGCAGACTAGAGGGGCCGAGACTAAGGCCAGGGGGCCCAGCAGCTCAGGAGGGGCAGAGACTGCTTAGGACACTGAAACACGCCAAGGTATGAGACTAGACTAGGTGCCCACTGAATTGATTGAGAACATCTGCAAGGCATAGGCATGACTGTAGGGGAGGTTGGGAACCATGAATAGCCCAAAAGGGAAGAGGTGCCTTAGGGACATGTACAGGTCAGGAAGGCCAACGTAGAGTGAGGAGTGGATTGGGACCTGTAGGGACTGGGAGGAACCTGCTGGTGGGAGGACACAGTGGAGCTCACTCTAGGGGGCAGGAGCTCTGGACCCACCAGGGTGCATTGTGGCCCCACCTGCAGATGTGGTCCTGTTAAAGTGTGTCCTCCTATTTTATTTAATCAGCTTCTCCTAAAATAGTCTGCCTCTCATAAAACATGTTCTCATCCTACAAACAAGCATTTTAATACTTTTATTTTACATACAGCTGGCCCATACCCTCCTGTCTTTTGAATAGTTGAGAGGGTTTCAGTTTCTTGAACATGTTAATTTCTTACAGAGAAGGTAAAGCGGCATACACAGAGCTTGGTCAAGCTTTTCCAGCCTGGATTTTTCTTTCTTTGCTTTTTTTTTTTTTTAATTTAAGACTTTCTAGTAATGCTTCATATGGGAACAGACATCGGAACATACAAGTAACAGTGCATAATGGCTCTACTGATACACAGCTCAATGTTGAAACTGCCCAACCAAGACACCCCCGTCCTCTGCTTTTTCCTATGCACTGCTTCCAAAACTGATGCACTTTGGATGCATCTTCCCCCAAAACACTTGTATAGTGTGGCAGTTGAGTGGTAGGCCGAGGCTATGGCCAGTAGCCCGGAACGGCAGGTGGGTACTTTTCCGCGATGAAGCAGAATTAGGCACAGAAGCGTATTGGTTAAACTAAGATTGCTTTACTTACACTGTCGATGGATACAGCGTAGGCAGAAAGTTAACTTCAGTTACAGTTGCAAACCGAACAAGAGCTCTAGAAACCGAGGTGAGATGTCCGTGAACAACTCAATGAGCATGCAGGGCACGGGGTACGTCGGGAAGGTCGATGATGGGGAGTCATTGGTGGGTGATCAGTCCGCCAAGTTCACTCCGAGATGGGCGCGGAGTTCTCCGACTTGGGCGGAAACTGCTCTAACTTTTATACGGCTAGCAAGCCAATTGCTAGTCGCCATGCAGGAATAATTTAGAACCGGCCAATAATGGTGTGCGTATTTGCATAAGGATGGCGGGAACTTTTCTGCACCGGGGTTCTCCACCGTAACGGAAAATTCCACCGTGCCGAGAAACTTCATTGTGCTGGAAAATTCCACTGTGCTGAGGCACTTAACTACTGGGTTCTGACATATAGAAGCTCTGCTGTCACTCACTAGGCTTGGACTGGTTTTATATTTTATGTACACACTAGCCAGTGTATCCTCTGCCACATTTACAAAGGGTCCTCTGCTGTGGGGCCAAAAGGTGAATTAATTTAGGAACAACAGAAAAGTCCAGATGCCTTAAACAGTGGGTTAATAAGCCCAACCCATTCAGATACTAGGATGGTCTTCTGAATTGGCCTGTACACTTTACTCTTTCATGGCTTCCTAGATATTTATTGCAATATTATATACCGGGGCCAGCAAACTTTTCAAGCTGTGGGCCAGAACAACCGAGCTCCAGTGGTGTTGCCTCAGCAGCAGGTGGGGTTTGCCTGCACCTGTAATAGGGCCAGGCAGCTTGGAGCTGTTTTATCATTAGTGCTGCTTTTCCCAGCACCCCTCTTCTTCCCCCTCCCCCCTGCCCCATTCCTTGGCTGGGACACGAGCCCAGCTTCCAGCCAGAGGAGAGCTGCACTGGGGTTGGGCAGCTGGGAATCGCCTCCAGGCTGCTGCTGCTGCTGCAGTATGGGCACAGCTTCCAGTCAGTGAGGACCTGCAGTGCAGGTGCAGGGGGTGGGGAGAAGCAGTGGCCATGTGGGTGCAGCTTCCAGCTGCCCAGCCCTAGCAGCAGCACAGGCAGAAGCAAAGCCTTCCAGTTCCATGAGCCAGAGCCAGTTCCTTTATGAGCCAGATCTAGCCTGTGGGCTGTATGTTGCTGATCTCTGTTACACACAATTGCAGGTTTGCAAATCATTTTGCCTATTTGCTCCACTACCTGGTGAATGTTTTAGTGTGGCCAGATTGCAGCTGCAAAGGGATGTTAGGGTGACAATAATCTGAATTATTGGGGAGCACTGGATCTGCAGCTGGAACAAGGCTTTAACCTGTGTCTCAGCGAAAAGCTGCTGACCACAAGGCAAAATGGTGTGTTAAAATAACCTTGCAGATGCTTAGGCAAGTAGTTTCTTTAACAAAGGGAATAATATGCAGGATAAAATAAATCACTGGGCAAAAGGAAACAGGATGCAAACCCGCTATCATTAGGTGATAAGACAGAGGCCAGACTTTGGAGGGGCTGCTGGAGTCAGCAGAAAACTAGAAAGAACCAGTAGTTGACCAAGTTCATAGCCTTATGCATGCGCTCTTAGCAAAAGGCATGTAAATAAAGAAAATGCATAGGTAATCATATGCTAATGAAGCAAACAGTAAACAGAGGCGGGGCTTGAGATAGGAGGATGTGCCCGTCTCAGTTTGATTATCCGCTCCCACACTGTTTTGGCGTGTGTGCCTGTTGTCAGACACGATGGGGCTTTGTGCGACCTCTGGGGAGGCCCTCGATCACTTCAGGGAGGACCCCAAAACTCGCCTGCCATTACTTTGGATGGATCTTCAGTGGAGGGGCCATTGAGGGTACCTTCAGAGCTGTTGCGTCCCTCAGTGGGTGTACATGGGGCTCTACCTTCCCTACCCCCTGTCCATACACCAGCCCTCGAGACGAGCCTCAGGATCTTTATGCAGCTTGCCCTCTGGTGATGTCAGTCCCAGACCTTTATGCCCCTTTCTCTTTTGTTGGTTCTACTTTTGTTTTGTTTGGACACTGGGGCTTCTGGATGTTCCATTCTCAGCGACGTCTCTCTAGTAGCCTGGTGATTCTGGTTGGCTCCGTATGCTACCGTTGTCCCTTGGCGCTGCCTGTGTCCCCCTGCCAGAACCTCAAGAACAATAGATGACCGAGTAACCAACGAGAACCTATGCCAAAGTAAGGAAAAATGAAAGAGAAGAAGGAAAAGAAAGGAACCACTCCAGAAAACTGGAGACACAGGCAAAAGATAATTAAAAAAAAGGAAAAGACTGAAGAAGGAGAGGGGTTGGTGGGCTACACAGCCCTTTTTCCCCCCTAACTCTAGCCTGAGCCCAGCGTGTCTCCCTGACATGGTTCCGCATCCTCACCCCAACTGGGGTCTTCTTTGGCTCCTCTCTGAGCTGCCTCTGGTCCTGCACACCGGTTCCACCTGCAGCCAATGCAGGCTGCTGCCACCAATGCCTGCCTCCACATCGGATCTCATTGATTCTGCCGATGCTGGGTGCTACCAGCATGGGGGATGCTTGCAGCCTCTCCTGCTTCTGGCATCCCCGCTCGCTCGCTCTAAGAGCCAGCTTTTATTTCTGCCGGGTGGCATCTCCTGCTGACATCACCCAGCTCCAGCTGTAGATAAGTGTGTCTAATAAACCACGCAGGCGTTTCCTCCCGGCGTGTTCCTTCTGGCCCTCTGCGTCCTAAAACATGTATGTTTTTCTCTTTTTCAGGGTTTTTCCTTTGGGGTTGGGTTACCCCTGACCTGGGTTCCCCCGCGGGTGGGGCTTCTTGCTCCCCCATGCTTGTACCCCTGGGACAGAGGAAAAATGGGTGGAACCCAAGGAGAGACATGGGTGCAGTGAATGTTAATATGTATGAACCAAGGTGTATAAATGTCGGAAAAATCTATTGTTCAGGGCTGCTCCCCTGGTTTCACGGGCTGTGTCGACAAGAGAGCTCACCTGAAGCTGTCTCCATTCTGAATAAAACTGTTGCAAGCAATGTGTGCTGGTGTTTGCTCCCTGCTTGCTCTGGCTAATGAGTAACAGGATCCATGAGCAATTGGATCGATGTCTCCCTAGTCATAGGGGCGCCGCATGGAGTCGGGGTCTAACAAGGGATACATCCCACTTTCCTGGATAGCCCCCAGAGTACAGCTTGCTCATCTTTTAAAAATGAGCAAACACTATAATCTGAGCTCCCAAAGGCCACATGAACAGAAGCTCCAGATAGAAAAAGCTGCATGATTTCCACTCATTTGCTGTATGGTTCACAGAACAGTTTCACAGCATGTAATTTTGGCGGTTGTAGTAGCGACTTGAGCCATCTTAGGGAAAGAGTCCTTCCATTACCATTTTGATAGCAGTTACATTTGGAGGATGATCTTCCAAACCTTCAGCTCCTAGGAAGTCAATAGATGTTCCACTCAAGAAGAGCCTCATAGTAAAATTAGAAATATGCTCCTTAGGGCTGTGCAAAGATCACAGCTCAAAGGAGTTTCAGCAAACCCCTTATTTTCTGTTCATGCAAACCCCAAATCTCTACGTGGGACAGGACTGACACTAACCAGTTCTGACAAATCTCTTGAAAGCACAGAGAACCCTAAAAATAAAACCATTGGGTCTGTTTTTTCCACAAAGTGCTTATTGTTGTTACACAAAGTTATACAGTACCCACTGCCATGGTATCTGTATGCCTTCTACTTTTATCTAAGCGTTTGCATTTGCCCAGTCACATTTTGTAACCATTTGGGGCTCCGTCCAGTAATCTCTATTCATGCAAAGCCCTGCAGAGGTCATCTTATTGAGACTCTCTGACTTCAGTGGGAGTTTGAATTAAATGCAGGCTTGCATTCCTAATTATTGTTCTACATCAGTTTCCCCTTTTTATGCCTGGCCCTTTCTTAGATAACTTCTCCCAAGGACAGAAAGAATATAGAAAGGACCTCTTCATTGCTCCTTCTCACGCATACTTTTCCTTCCCCACATATGCGCAGGATCCAAGCAGAATGCGGCTACTGTCATTCCACTGGGGCTTGTGGCTGACCTGTGCACTCCATGACCCCCAGAGCCAGTCAGACTGGGTGAGAAGCCAAGGCCCAGTGCCCTAATGTCAACCAGCATGTGGCAGCAGGTACTGCATGTTCTGCTTTTAGCTGCTGGAGGGCTAAAACATGTGCATCCCCACTTACTTCCAATGACATTATGCTTTGCATCTGCCCTGTACAGACAGAATGCCTCCAGCTACTTCCAGTCATCTGTTGTAGCCGAGAGATCACACTGTCCAATGTCAAAAATCCACAGACAGATCTGCGCCCATCCTAGGACTCCAGGGAGGAACAGAGATGCACTTACATAGGTCTTTCTGGGGAAAGCAGAACATACTGTGTGCGGCACTGACTATGATTTTCACGGTATTCTGCATGCAAATAGAACTTGATATACAGTGGGGAACACACTTTATTTGAACTCTTATGTACTCACATTTTATTGTTCATTTTAAAGTCATTCCCTGTTTTCTAGCCTTCATGAAAAATAAGGGAGCTCTTCTAAGGGAAATGGATACCTCTGCATTGGAAGGAGACAGGCACACTGTGTGGGCAAGTGTGAAGCCTGCAATGCCACCCATGCTGTCTGGGTTCTGTGGCCACTTTCATGAAGAGTAAAATGCACTCAAAAAATTATTAGAAGGAACTAAACCTCAACAAGATCCTTCACTCCCCCAGCTGCAGCTGTGTCTAATCATTTTCATAGCATACCAAGATGTGTGAAATCACTGTTTAATTTTATAAGTGTGATTTTCACCATGAAAGGCGGAGACCTACAGCTTCCTGTCTCTTCAGTGCTAGTGCAGCTGCCAGCACATTCTCATGACATGGAGTCCCCTCAGTAACCTCACTTAATGGGGGGTTTTATTGAAAACTCTTTAAAAAATTGTTTTGTTCTTTTCCTTTGATATACACTCAAGCATTTCTTTTTTTATGCAAGAGAGACAGACTTATATGATGTTGAGCAGACGGTGTTCCCTTCATGAGTTTCCAGTCATAATTATTATTGCAGCCTCATCAGCACTCAGTTAAATAATAGATGTACAGGACTTCCCAGATGTCACTCAGCAACACCACAGGGATGCTTGGTAGAGGCACAGACATAGTGAACAGAGAACTCTGACCCAAGGATCCCGTCCTGCTGGCTGTTTACCAAGTTGTACATGCATGCAAAATGCCTTGAACCCTCTGACCCTCACCCAGCAAAAGGCTTAAGCACATGCCTACATTTAAAACACACAAGTGCTCCTATTGGCAACAGTGGGATTGCTTATGTAAAATGCTTTGCTAATTGATGCCAGGGTGCTCAGTCCTGACTGAATCCCAAATGCACCAATTCCTGTCTCTTGAATTATAAGAGAATCTTCAGGCATTTGGGAAATTGGATAAATTACAACGCCACTTATGTCCAAGAGAAGGAGATACAAACAACCCTTGTCTTTCATTGCTTTACTGTAAACTCTTTGGGGCAGTCACTGTCATTTACTAGAGAGGCTTGTACACTGATGAGCAATGAGGCCCTGACCAGATGAGCCATCTCAGCATGACTCCAATTTCCATAGCCAGAGTTAGACAGAGCATATCCTTAGCTTGCAGGCACTTACCAAATTACACATGCTCAGGGAAGGCCAAATCCTGCTCTGATGGAATTTAGTGGGAGTTTCATCACTGGTAGCAATTTATTCCATGCTAAACTGCAGCAGCTGCTTAACAGCTTAGAGAAACAATACACAGTGGTTTAAGGCGGGTAGTGAAGCATGTTGTATCCAGTAAATTGCAGTGGGGATTTTAGGAAGCAGAATGCAACTTGGAATATGGCCAGAACACTACAACTAACAGTCCCTTTGTGAAAAATACTACAAGCTCTTTAACAACTATTGCTGAGGACCCCAGTTTTACATGTTCCCTTGAAAATGACATTGCCACCTGTCTGCAAATGGGGTATTTGTTCATTACCAATTGCAAGGCTGGATCCTAAACCCACTGAAATCAATGGAAAGATACCCATTAATTTTGGGTCAGTGTCTCAAAGAGAAGAAAATAGCGCTCCAAAACACTTCTAGCATTACCTGGATTATTCCTTGCCAGTCTTCTATTCATATATCAACAAGATACAAAGCTGTTTAACTTGTGACATCTTACAAGGCCACCCCTTTAGGTGGCTGGTCTATTGCTTAATGAAAAGGGATAGGAAAAACAGACTCACCTGCTACAGCAATGCATGGGGTCACTTCTCTTTCATCCCTGATTGGCTCAGAGGTGTGATGGTAGGTGTTAGTCAAAAGGTGCTAACTATGACTTAGACATTGTATAGATGAAATGAGGGGCATGTGTGCATGACACTTTAAAGCAGGCTAAATGCTTTTGCACCGCTTTAATGGTCTCAGTGTTTGCATGAGTCGGCAGTGTATTGCACATTAATTACATCCACTATAGCAAATTCGGTGGCATAATGCACCTTAAATGACTTGGGGTACAGCAAACTAAAACTCAGCTCTGAGTTTTAGTTTGCTGCCCCTACAGTCGTCAAATGAAGTACCGGGCTCTGTGCAGCTCAGGGGCTCTGCAGGAAGCCCTGCAGGCAGCCTGACAGCAACCTGAAAAGACAGGCTCCACCCAAGAAAAGCGATGAGTCTGATCTTTTTTTCCCCCTGGAGCCTGTCTGAGCTGCGTGGGGACCTGGTGCTTCCCTCCACAGCTGTGGTGCCCCCTGGGACCGCCCGAGCTGGGTGCCTGTGGACAGGTGCTGCCTAGTGGGGGGGCCACCGCTGTCACGGAGGGAAGCACCAGCCCCTCCCCGTAACCCAGGGACCACTCCTCCTACTGGCAGCTCACCCTCCCCTCCCTGATGCCAGTGTGGCAGGTAAGTGTGTGTGGGTGCATGCACAACATGGGGGTTTAAAAGGCACTAAATTGAAGTAGTGTTTTTAAAAACCCACGGCTTCAAATTAGGGCCTGTTTCGTCTGCACACGCCCTTAGTCTACGCAATGGCTATGGCTATGAAAGCACTCTGCAGGGGTACAGCCCCCTGGTGTGGATGCAGTTTTGCCAGTAGGTAGACATCTTTCTCAAAAAAGCACCCCTGAATGACAGACGCTCAAGCAGCAGAAGCCACCTTCTACCAGGAAAGCTACTTCTGCTTCAGAGTGTGATCTTTTTATGCCTTCAACCAAGGTAGCCCTGTCGGCAGAAATTTGTCATGTGGACACGCAGTATCATCTCTGAACTGCCCTGGTGCCAAAGTGAAGGGACACCAATAGGTGCTGCCCAGCTGGGGCAGGGCACGGGACAGAGCCGCAAGCAGCTCTTTTTTTTTTTTGGGGGGGGGGGGGACCGGGACGGGGGAAGGGTTGCCTGCACTCCTGGGCAAGCATGGGGAGGCATGTGCCCCCCAGATCTGTGCGCAGGGTGAGGGCGGGCTGCTGCTGTGGGCTTTGCCCCAGGTGCCAAACTTCATTGCAATGGCACGGATCAAGAAAGACACCCGGCCTTTAACACCTGCATAGAAGAAGACTAGACTTGAACTGAACCAGCTTAGCATACCCTGAGGCATGCCCTGCCTTGCCTACCACTATCCCCAAACCGTGGCATACCACAGCAAGTACAGTTCACTGCTGCGTTATAGGCAGAGTCTTTAGGCAGAATACAGAAGCAAAATGAATGTTTTATAAGCCAAGATGAAAGGAGAGAGTACTTCAAAGGCTACAAGGCATTAATTTTCCCTTTCATTGTGGTTTTCCATCCCCCTTGTTTTAATATGATGGATCATGCGATAATAACAGGCAGTGGCTCTGACTGATGTGCACATACAGAATAAAGAAGAACAGGAAATTGGATACTAAGCTTTACACTGTATTTCACCAGATTCTGGAGTCACCAGAAAGAGACCGTCTGTCAGATTGCTCTTGACGCAGACCTGCAGTCGTGTGTTCAATTTCCTGCCATCAGCTGTTAAGTCTATTGAACAGCCAAAGAGGAGGAATATGAAGTGTAACTGATTTAGAGATTTATATGAATGACCAGCTCTGTCTACACTAAGAAATTGAACTGTTGTGCAAAAAGAGTTTTCAACAAGGTGCCCTGACCTGGTACTGACAGAGGTTGAAATGCTAGTGTAGATAGGGCACCACCATTTTCAGTAGTGACTCAGGGGACCTATCTAACCAAGAGCTTGATTTCCCAGTGTAGACAAGTCTTCCACGTATGAGGGAATGGATTAAGAATCAGGAGGTGGGCTGGGTTTGTTGCAATATTATGTAAAGCATGGGTGAGATTCTAGATGTTTCCTTTTCTGCCATCCAGTCTCTTGAAACAAGAGAACCACCTCAGGGAAGGGGCAAACGTTTGAAATTTCTTCTTTCCCCTTCCCTCTCCATGCCTCCAGCTGCTTTCTATTCTGGGCTCACTGTGCTACCTTCATGTTATCACAGAGGCTTAATTATCTTTAATCTACTGCCTTTGATACCCTTCATGGGAGGCTGCATTGCCTATCAGAGAGGCTAGGAATAAGGTGCCTCTTTCACAGCTTAAGAGAAGGAAAACCTTTGAAGAATGGGCATGTATCAGACATGACTTGCTAATACACAGTTAATATAGGACAGTGGAGACAGTACAACGGGGGCAGGCAAGAGACCTGTTTTCTACTCCAACACACCGTTCCAAACACTGCCTATGTACTAAGGACAGAGTCCATTGCTTCTCTGTGCCTCACTTTTCTTATCAGTGAGTGAAATAGTGGATAATATCAGGGACCTTCCTATGGAAAGGGCTTTGAGACATGTAGAACAGGAGTACCATACAAAAGTGGGATATCTTTCCACCATCACTCTGGGTTTGCTTATTACTGAGATGAGTTAAAGTCCTGGATTCAAATGCCTCTGACATTTCTGGTGGGGAAAAAGGGAGTTTCAGAATTTGAACGTGGAGTCAGACTTTGCTGTTAGTGCCTCTCTCTTCAACAGGCCAAAACAAAAAGCCTAAATCAACACACCCCCAAACTCTGAAGGATTTCACATCCAGATGTTAATTTTGCAGCCTGGGTACAAGTAAGTACTTGTACTTACCACTGTACTGCTTCAAATGAAAAACCCTCGGCCTTCAGACGACATTGTATCCTCAAAGCATTTCATACATCATAAGCTTCATAACTTCTTTCTATTCCATCAATGAGGAAAGTGAGGCACAGGGAGATTGAAGTATTCATTTCCATTGGTGCTGAGCACCCATAATTCCTGTTGGCTTCAATGAGTAATCCTCAAAACCATTAAGGATCAAGTCCTGTGTTTCTCAAGTTGCATACTTTAAAATGGAGACACCCAACAACAAAATACAATTTAAAAACTATCACTGATTTGCCTAGAGCTACACAGGAAGTCAACAGCAGATACAGGGAAAAGAACTCAGGAGCTCTACCTTTAGACTAGACACCCAAGAATTAGGGTTGGATGAGCTTGTTTAGACATAGTAGGCATTTATACACGTACCTCTTGTCTGCTTTGATGTGCCAGAAATCCAGCACATCAGAGCAGACTCAATTAATAGAGTCTGCAGAGCATGCAAACTGATGTGCCCAGTGCTGTCACATGCATTTATGTAAGTGGCAAAATGCATGTCAGCACGCAGAAAATGTCAGCAATGCGCTTAAGAACTGAAACACTTTCAATGCATTTTAGTTCAAAAGTGTGCTGCTGCCATTTTCTCAGCACTGTCACACATGTTCATAGATTGTAAGGCTGGAAGAGACCTCAGAAGATCATCGGGTCCAGCCCCCCTGCACCAAGCAGGAAAGACAACAGAGGTCAGGTGATGTTGCTGTTTATACATATGCTGCATCTCTAGTGACCCCAAGGCCTTGTCCAAGTCTCTGACAAATTGGTTTATTTGATTATGAGCATCTGAACTTCCTGATTGTAACTTAGATCAGAAACAGAAGCACTGGAGTACTAAGAAAAAGGCTTTACTCCTCACACTATCAATCCTAAACATGAAGTCCTAGATGTCTCATGAAGGAATGCACAGTCATATTTTCAGTTCAGCTTTGCAGACCTGAGAGGCTGGGCAAGTGTCTGAACTTTCTGGTATTTACATTACCTTCCACACTTTGACTTCTGCATTAAATTCTCCCTGTGAACTACAAATCAATCACCATCCCCAACTGAAAAGAACACAGTGGAAACATTCTTTGCATATGCTGGGCCATCAGCCTGGAATGAGAGACAAGATATTGATGCAACAAACTGATGTAATCAAAGCTTCTAAAAGGCAAAGCAGTGAATCACTTGGATGTAGCAGTCTGTCTGTGCCCTTATCTGCTATCTGCTTTTTCCAAAACATCCAATAAATAAAATTGCATTTAACTATTTATATTTACACGTGAATTTTCATTATAAAATCTTACAGACAACAACTGATGGGAAGGAACATGGCTTGGAAGTGGCTCAAGGAGATGTCAAGGCACATTAAAATCTGTTTTTCTTCTTCTTCTTTCCTTTCGGCAGCTCATCCACAAACTGAGCACAGTTCCCAGAGACGCGTGCTCTAACAGCTTGCAGAGAAGTCAATATGCCTTGTACTGATCCACCTCTTTGGTGCTTTCAGTACAATCAAGCAACTGATCCAAGAACAAAGGGGACCAAATTCAATATTGGAGAAAGCAGATACAAAGATGTGCACTGCTTGCTTTAGGGATAAATTTGGACCTTGAGGTAAAATTTTGCTCTCCAAATAAGAACCATCCTGCCAGAAGCAGAGGTCAGGATTGCAGCCCAAGAACCTGCCAGTTAGGAGCATGGCAACGTGTGGTCTGCCTGTGTGGGGGTGACTGCCATCTTCCTAGCATTCAGACAGTTTTCTGAATTTGTTTGCTTTGCCATTAGAGAGGAAGATGCATGTGCACCAGGAGAAAGAGGAGTTTGAAGGGACATCAAAGCCAGCAGCATCCTGAATTGAGTATGGTAAGTATAATTAATAAGCACGGATCCTGACAAAGAGCAGAATTCTATTACATCCTCAACGGCTGAAGCCTCCTCTAAACGGTAGATTTCAGTCAGACGCATGGATGCACATTCTGTGCATCATGCCATGGGAAAAACTTTTCTCCTCCTCATCTCAGTACTCTGACTTCCCAATAGTCAGTATAACTGGGTGCAAGGCTCAGGGGTGCAGCTGCAGGTGGTTAAAGGTGACAGTGTAGCATGAACTGAACTAATGTAGCTGATGTTAACATAGAATGTAATAATAGTGAAATGTAACCATGTTAGTCTTGTCCTGTAAGCAACTTGAAAACTCCATTTTGTATCCTTCTGCTTGACTAAGTGAATGAACTCTGCATGACGTTTATGTACCAGTGTGTGTAAAAGGGTGAATGGTGAGAGAATGGCATAGAGACGGGAAAAGAAGATGTAACTGTTTATGTAAGCAACAAGGCACCAAATGTAAGCTACTAGTCAGTAAACTAATTAATGAATGGCTGAAGAATCCCTTTGAGGCCTAGGGCACAAAGAAGATAACAAAGAGAAAAAATGCACCCATCCTGCCAGAGGGGCAGCAAAAACACTCCAAGGCTGAGATAAGCTGAAGACAAAAGAAGAACAACCACAAAAAAAGAAGCTGGGTATGGAAAAACTCCAAAGCACTGAAACAAAGGATGTCAATCCCTATAAAAGAACACTTTGAAAATGCCAAGTTGGGTGAGTCTCTTTCTCTACTGCTGTTTCATCAGAGCACAAATGCATCTGTTCACCCTGCTCCAGCTGTTATCTTCAAATCATCATCATCTGCTCAATAAGCCCGGGTTGGTCACCCTGGGCTGATATTGAGCAACTATTGCTCAATATATATCTGGTGTATGTGTGGATGAAATGGTTGTTTTGTGTATGTGTATGCATGTGTGTAATGACGTGTATGATTATTGGTGTGTGTTTGTATGGATGGTGTATCTGAACCACTATGTCTAACTCATGCAATCAATAAATGCGGCACCTTGCCTTATCCCCCTTTATAAAGTCTTGCTCATGCTTTGAGCAATTGGCAATTTGTGTAACAACAGCCTGCCTGCTCAGTGAGGTGAAGGGGGTGGGGGGCAGCTGACAGCAATCAGTGCCTGGCCTAGAGGAAGTTAAAAGCTCCTGGGAGTGGAGCTGTGAAGAGAGAGAGCAAGAGGGTGGTGTGAAGAAGGCAGCCCTGAGCTGAGAAGGGGGGGAGAGTTTTTTTTCCAGGTCTGAGGAAGGATGGTCACTGTGAGTTAATCCTTTGTTGACTCATTACTGAATGAGTTCATTTGTTCATTCCTGAAGCTGTGTCCTGCAGGGCAAGGCTGCCCAGGCAAAATCAAAGTTGGAGTGAGAACCAGTTACAGTCAATCATCATTATTGACTCCAAGGTGAACACAGGCCGACAACGCGAGGACATGGTCAGTAAGGCTAACCGTACCTTATCGTACATCCACAGATGCATCATGAGCAGGTCCAAGGAGGTGATCCTCCCCCTCTGTGCAGCACTGGTCAGGCCACAGTTGGAGTACTGCGTCCAGTTCTGGGCACCACACTTTAGGAGGGATGTGGCCAGCATTGAGAGGGTCCAGAGGAGGGCCACTCGCATGATCCAGGGACAGCAGGGCAGACCCTACGAGGAGCGGCTATGGGACCTTAACCTGTTCAGCCTTCACAAGAGGGGACCTGGTAGCCATCTATAAACTTACTAGGGGGGACCAGTGGGGAATGGGAGAGACCTAGTTCCCCCAAGCGCTTCCCAGAGTAACAAGGAATAATGGCCATAAGTTGTTAGAGAGTAGGTTTAGACTAGATATTAGAAGGCACTACTTCACAGTCAGGGCGGCTAGGATCTGGAACCAACTTCCAAGTGAAGCACTGCTGGCTCCTACCTTGGGGGTCTTTAAGAGGAAGCTTGACGTTTACCTAGCTGGGGTCATTTGAGCCCAGTTTTCTCTTCCTCCCCAGGGCAGGGGGGTCGTACTAGAAGATCTACAAGGTCGCTTTCGACCCTATATGTATGAATCTATGAAAGTCTGAGGAGGGTAAAGGGGATCAATTATCCTTATCAGCTTTGAGTATGAGAGAAGCAGTTCAAGAAGTGGCAAGTGTTTTAGGTTATCATGGAAACTAAGGCTCTGGGCAAACCTTGTTGCATGCCTGGAATGCCTGAGAATCCTGCTTGGACAGCTCCTTTCTTCACTTCCCTGATCTTTGTGCCTTACAGCTAAGCCCATTTGAACTCAGATGTTGTCAGAATCAAATATTAGAACTTATCTTAAAAACTGTGGTCCAAATTCCAACCTCCTTGACTCCAGTGGAGGCCTATACCAGCAAGTTCTTTTCAGGATCGTTCCTATGGAAGTCTATGCAATCAAACATGGTTACATACTTGCTGCATTTGGCACATAAGAAATTAGGTCCTCGGCTGATGTAAATGAGCCCGGCTTCATTAACTTCATGGGAGATGCATCAGCTTCCACCTGCTGATAACCTGGCTTGCTGTTCTAGTTTAAGAGCCTGAGTTATTTACACAAACATTAGCTCCTGTTGAGTGAGCCCAGCTCATGCAAGAGCACTCACACTGCTGAACACGTGTGCTGTACAGCATGAGTTTTGTTAGCAGCACAGAGCAGCTGAGTCCTCAGTTCATGACTAGCTCCAGCATCAAGCTTGAATCCTCTTCTCAACAGGCCACCTAGCTTGAGGGAAGAACACCTATAGACTCAAGCCAGTGGCTGGTACACATACAGGAGTATCAGGAGAAGGACAATACTGGAGTTCTACCTTGAGCTACCTGTACAAAGAAGAGACATCCTGTTACACTGAGCTACACCTGAAGCAACTCCATTGGCTTTTGCAAAATTTCTCTAGAGAAGAAAATCAGGCTGCAGTTCCTTTAATCGCATATCAAGAAACATATCCTAAACGTTTCATTTTTTCAGGTCATACATTGGTCCATGTGCTGTTAGCAAATTTGAACTAAGAATAAGGCATATACATGAATACAGCATGGCAAAAGCAGTAACAAGATAAAATTACAGCCTGTAGCTCCCAAACAAGAAGGGGCATGAGGTGCATGTGAGGCACTTGAAGCATCTCCATGTTGGATACAGCAGTGCTTCAACGTTAGGAGCTTCCCCAACTGGGTGATCCAAGAAAATGAAGCTAAGCACCTAGGCTCCTTCTGCAGTCCATGAAGAAGCTACAGACATTCCCAGTGTCATAGCAGACACTGCCAAGCATGTCCATCTGCTTACATGCACCACACCTGAAAATGCAGTGGTGAAACTATTCTAGGGGTGTGCCTTATAGTTGCTCTTAAGACCGTGGCCTCTGGCATGCTTGATAGCAGCTAGTGGGAGTACCCCCAGAGATGGATCTGCTGTATGTAGCCACTCTAGGTTTGGTATTTGCTACTTGGGAGCTAGAGCAGGTGGACAAGACATAGTCAGGAGCATCACTGCCAGGAACACACTACAAATGCAGTGTAGATATTCCCTCAGGCACATCCTCAAGGCACTCCACAAAAATCTGCATGCTGAGCAGGAAGCCTTCTGGAGTTAGCCAGTAGGACACTCTACACACACTGGTGTGGCTGATTCCCAGCCCTCAGTAGCTCAGGCACTAGGCTCTAGGCTGCATATTAGGCACCATGGTCTATTTGGGATGTAGTGGGGGCCATCTGTATAACAGCTGAGTGTTTACAGCATTTGCCTAGGAAGTGGGACTCCTGGGCTCTATGTCCACCTCAGCCTGGGGTTTCCAAATCCACACCTCCTACCTCCCAGAAGAGTGGTTTGACAATCAGGCTGCAAAACAGTGTGAATAACAGTCCTCTTCTTCTGAAGCTGGGCCACTGTGCAGCCAGGAATGAAAGCCACAGGGGCAGAAGAAGAGCAACCGAGAAAGAGCCTGCTCCCAGTTATTAGATAAAAAAAAAGAAATATTCCTGAAAGAAGGACTAGAAGCCAGCTCTTCGCCTTAGCAGCTGAATGAACAGGGCTCTTTGTTTTAAGTTTAAGCCCCTGAATTCTGCCTAAGTCCTGTTTTAAGCATGCAAAACACCTCTCCATGTCTCACCCCAAACCCTTATCTATCAGGTCCAAAGAAGACACACCTGAACCACTTTAACTTTCCACGAGAGGGCAGTAGCACTCACCCACACATTCATATAGACTTAGCTAGCAAGTTATAAGACATCAATTCAAGGTATTAGGCCCCTGAGAATAAAAATAAATAAGATACAATGAAAATTGGCAAGGCTGTCAATCCTCATGACTCAGAATAAAAAGATCACCAGTAGGGATCAGGAAGAAGCTTTCCTGATGCAGCACTGCACACAAGGATGCATTAAAAGTGGTTTATGCATTTGGAATCAGCCAGGACAGGCTACTGTTGGGTATAGGTCATTACTCAGCATCATTAATATGCTTGGTACAGCCTTAGAAAAAAGGCAGAGGATAATGGAGTAAATGGACTATCAGGGCAATGTGGCAGCTCTTCTGTAGGCCATGAAAGGAAATGTTTGATAATAAGAGATCAGAAAGGAGGAGCTGCCACTATAAAAGATAATTGCTGCACTGCAGGATGTTATTTAGATTCTCAATAACTATATGGTGGATGTGATTTTTTCAAACAGATGTTTCTTTCTCTCTTATGCACACACTTACAGCCTTGAACCATCCTATTTGAATACAAAGAAAGCAGATACATAAGGAGAAGAACTGGGATTGTGCTATGTTCAGACCGTGGAGATAAAATTGCTAAATTCTGTGGAAAATTGAAATTCCTTTCTATTACACAGGGCAAATTGAACAATAAGGAGAATATTGAAATGACAAAGTTCATTATTGAGATCTTTGGAGTGAAGATGAGAACTACTCAGTGTGGGCAAGGGCTCCTGGGTATATACAATGGAAATGACATTTCAAGAGATATTTTGATGGCTAGATTAGCACAAAGAGATCAAATTTATAACCAGTTGTGATGGCTGGGGATTTCCTTCCAGCATTGCTAAAAAATAGTTCCTACTCCAAAACCTTTTATTAAGATAGGTGATTTGTTAATATTTAAATACAAAGATGAATTAGCTCACCTACAGTGCAACTACAGTTGCAACTTGCACATACTTTGCCAACCACAAACAAATGGACAAGGAGAAACCTTTGTGCCTCTGAGCCAAAAGCAAAAGTGCACAATAATAGTGAAAATATACACTAGTGTAGTCGCCTTCATGCAAAAAGGACCAGTTCTTTACCAACTTAGACCTACACAGACTTCATCCAGCACTGAACTACAGCATTCTCTGGAATGGAACACATCAGCTGTTTAACCAGGCGTGGCACGACACGGTTGTTTTAAACAGTAAAACAGGGGTACGTAAAATATGGCCCGCAGATTCATCCCACCAACTGGTAGGATCCAGCACATGGGCAGGTGCCCGCCAACTGATTGCATCTGGCCTGCAGCTGCACCCATATCACTCCACATGGGGCAAGTCCCACCTACTCCTCCTGCAGGGGCAGCCTGCCCCTGCTCTTGCCCGCCAGTGACCCCAATCTCAGCCAGCATTCAGAGCTTCTCAGCAGGGCTTCTCTCGATACAGCTGCAGCTGCCCAGGTATTACTCAGCTCCCCACACTTCTAGTGGCTCTTCCTCCTCCTGCCCCTGGTGCACTGCTCTGGGCAGCAGGTAGCAGCAGTAAGCAATGGCAGCGGTGGGGATGCATGCTGGGCATCACACCCCCAGCCAGATGGGAGAGAAGCTGAGTGGTTCCTGCCCCAGCATGCAGGACTACAGCTTCAGCTCCAGCTCCCGGTTGCTACTACACACTCCGGCTACCCAGCATGTTGAGCAGCCACTTGCTTATATACAAATTAATATATGATTTGCTTTGTATCTATAATTTGTTTAAATAATATCTTCTGAAAGATTTTATGCGTGCGGTCCTCGACAGCTCACCAAAACTCCTTAAGTGGCCCACCAGCCAAAATATTTGCCTACCACTGCCATAGAGGAAGAACATGCTATCCAGATGAAATTGTAGGACATACCTACATAGTTAAAATGAAGTTACCAATAGTATTTAACCAGGATAGCAAGGACTTGGGATCTTAGTATGTCTTTGCACATGCTGGGGTGGAGGGAGGAGGAGGGTGGTGCTTTAAATAGTGCTGCTCTAATTAAAGTGCCTGCAGTGTTTTGTATATTCAGTGTCCCATGCTTCAAAATGGCAGCAGGGGTTCTTTAACTAAAGCTCATTCAACAAGCTGTAGTTAAAGTGCCCCCACCACCATTTTGAAGCATGGAAACACTGAATACAAGAGATGTGGAGGCTGCTGGAGCATGCTAATTAGCACACTCAAGCAGGCTCGATTAATTGAGTCTGCCCTGATGTGCTGTAATTACAGTG